CACAAGCCAAAATTCATCTCCTCTAAGCTGAAAAACTTCAAAGATTAACCACAGAGGAAAAGGCGCAGAAATAAAAGAGAAAAACAAGGCACAAAGCACTGATGTTCAAAAACGATGTACTTTAATACAGGTGAGAAGTTTTGAAGAAACAACACCGGAGAGCACTGGCAGTCTTTACTGCTTGAACACCAAAGCTTTGGTTTGCTTCAGCACTGCTGACGCTTTCTATTGCGGAAAAGCCTTAAGAGAGTCCAACTAGTTTTTCTAGAATATCTTGACCTGCAGCATCCCAGTTCCCAGCCAACAATCAGCCCTGGTGTTCACTTCTCTCTCTGGCATTAACTTCGTATCTTAGCTAAAGCCATGGACTCATCAGAGCCCACCCCTTCACACAGCCATCCAATACCACACTTTATCACCTCTTTGACATATCGGTCAACCATTTGTCATTTAAATCATTGAAAAGAGATCTTCAGTTGTAGGCTTGCAAAGTTCTCAGCATACTGTGAAGATAACTTTGGCATTAACTTCCCACAATCATGGCCACTGCTTCTTTCATTCCTATCCAGCCAGGGCTGGACTCCATATTATAGAATCATAGAATGGCTTGGGTTGGTAGGCACCCCAGAGATCATCAAGTTCCAATCCCCCTGCCACAGGCAAGGCCACCAACCTCCAGATCTGGTACTAGACCAAATATCTAATATTTACTTGCCTTAAGCAAGAGAACCCTGAAAATACATCCATACCCATGCTACTACCTTGATCATAAGAATTCTGTCACCTCGTTCTTGTCACAGATAACCTAGACTTCTCTGTCAGCCCACTGTCATCTACTGTGGTTGCTACTTCATTTGCTTTAACAGCAAGTCCTCCAGCCTTTCCTCAGTTTTCCCAAGGCTTGCATCCTTCTGACACATCTTACTGCACCCTCAGACATGACTCCTTTACATGACATCTGAAAGGGCTCCCAAAACACAGCACCTCTGTTTCCCAGCTCACATGGTTAGCTCAACATTCCAGAACTACAGACCACAGTAACAGTCCCAAACTACCATCGCTGAGGCCTCTACCATCCTTGATGGCATTCTTACATAATTACAGATGCTTGTCTTCTTCAACAATTGCTAGACAGTGACACCTTCCCACCACATTAACCTAAAGTAGGAAGCTGGCCACGCCCACAGGGTATCATCATGTCATTGCCAACCTTAAACATCTGCTAAGTGCATCTTCATTTGGGTCAGCTAAAGGGTAGCAATTCAGAACAGATGATGTGTACACTGTCATGCTGATGCTCATTTCCCTCTTTAACTCATTACAATTCAGAAAACTTGAGTGTAACCAAGTTGCAGAATAAAGCTCTTTCTACTGATTGCATCTCTTGAAAAGAAGAAATAGCAAATAGAAAATAAAAACATCAATCTGCATACCACACAAGATCAAGACCTGTTATTTGAACCTCCACTCCTCTTAGCATCAACTTTACATGATCCAAGAACGCAGATCTGAGCCTACATCTTTATGCACTGATCCAACACTAAGACTGGAAATAGCATACTGATGATAATGTACATATGCACTTATACATACACGCACACGTACAGAGCTAATTTTATGGGAGGAAAAGTGCATCCAATCTGACAATTTTCCCAAAGGAAAAATCTGCTTAAAGGGTCATTAAATGGGTTCAAGGTTTTGGACATGAAAATGGCAAAGTGAAAAAGACACATTCAGAACAGTTAGTTTATCTTTCCAAGTCAGCATCCAAGTAGATTTACATTGGATTCGGACTCTCCCCTTATAAAGAATGAGGTGAGACAGAGTACAACCTCTGTGGGCACACCACAGCCTCACCTACCCTCACAGGTCTTTCAACTTGTGTCCTTCCTCATAATCACTTCACCTTGTCTCACTCCCCCTATGTTACACTGATAGCACATATTTTGTTAAAACACTCCATCTTTTGCACCTCAACTCAAACAAGCACACACAGCTAAGAAGTTTCATATGCCCCATCATCTCCTGTGTGGATCACTTGTAAACATCAAGGAAATGAAGGTTCCAGCTGGCTCTTCACTGTCCCCTTGTTTATCACAGCTGCAACTAAAAACACTCCAGTCACAAGTTTCACGTAAAACAAACCAGCTCAGTTTATACCTCTGCCCTTTGCATTGCTAGATTAATTTGAGCTGTTGAAAACTCTGCTACAGATACTAAGGCATGGACTGTGCAAGTAGTTATTTTTAAAAGACAGCATAATGTTGGTCCTAGATTTCCCAAGGTGCTAAGCAGAAGAAGAATTTACTGCAACGCAAATGCATATTTTGATGCCAGCTGCACCTTCTGCAGGTAAAGACTGCGTATGACCCTCCCCTAGTATATCCAACTAATTACGTTCAATAACAAAATGGAATTTATTGAATACAAATACAAGAAACAGAAGTAAAAGGTTCAAAATCATAAAGACCTCGTGTTCCTCTATGACTTCCTGAACTAAAACCAAATAGAGTAGAGCTATCAGAGTAGGAAATCAAGGATGAATAATAATTAGAAGCAAATGGATTCTTCCTGACGTTACTTTCTTTACTGCATATCAAAACATTATCTCTTAGCATATTCTAGATGAGTTTATTTAACTGGGGGGCAGGGAGAAGGATAAAAAGAAGGTTTTCCTGAATACTAATTTGATCTTTGTTTTCACGCAAAGACAAGTTGATGTAAAATTGAATTAAGAAGAGATTATCTCCTCATTCTTCTTAAAAGACTCTGAATAGATGAATGAAAGCAATATATTTATTCAAACTGTGCAGATACAGCACATCACGAGAGCTGGAATTGGGCTTGACTTAACAGGACCCCAAGGCCCAGCCATCCAGCAGGCAGTGAGTAGCCACCAGCAGCCCAACGAAGGCAGCCCCCAGCAGCCCAACAAAGGCAGGCCTGTATGCCAGCATGCCTTGAAGACTATCACATCTCTCTGTAACCTCATCATTCTGTCCAGCTAATGGCCATTCTGAAAAGATCTTGACGAGAAACTGCGTTCTGAGAAGAAATGTATGGGATCCTCCAGTCAAGCCTGCCAAATTATAAGTCAATAGTTTAACATTTCTAATGATTGTTTTAGAAAATGAACCTTTCAATTAACAGTAAACAAAACTTGCAAGAGCAAAAAATGCAACAACCACCTAAATTGAGCTCCATGCAAACTTCTACTCTATAAAGAGCACCTACTGCCAGCTAACAGGCTTTTAGCCATTTTACAAATATAAGGACAAATATCATTGCAATTTTGTATTGAATTAGGGAAAGCAAAGAGTAAATAGAGAATTACTAAGTAATTGAACCTTCAAGCTCATGCTCACAACTGATTTCAAAGTAGTAACTATAAAGTCATTAGATATCACTTTTATTATGTTATCCAGAGATACAGCATACATATATGCTGGTATAGCCTCTGCTACAATGGATTTGGGATATTAACTTCTAGAAGAATAGTCGAGGGCTTTGACAATAGCACTGAAATGAACAAACTCCTTCCAGATCAAGCCAGTGAAAAAGAACAGCAAAACAAAGTCACAGCAGAAGGGGGAGAAAGATAGAAATATCAAAATCAAAACCAAAGCCTGTCATCTAAGCAATGGCACAGCATGCAATCTGAAAACAAACCCCTCCCTGTCACACAATTCATTCCAAGGCCCGCGTTCATGACTTATTACACCATTAGCAGTACTATTACACCATAGTGTGTAACTGCTCCATAATGCAGGAGTTTCCCAATAACTATTCATTAACACTGTCTTCTCTAATTAAAAATGACTCATGAAATAAGTTGCACTGTATGACTAAGCTCAGAACAAACCAAAGCACATTTACAGGCACACATGAGATTAAATTTAACTCTCCACAGCATCACGTTAAAAACTTTGGCAACAAGCGCTGCAGAATGAACACCCAACTGGGAAGTTCCTTACAGCTCATAAAAAGGCCTTCTGTCTAAAAAACACTGCAGCACTCACAGCAACGACCCATAAAGATAAGCATAGCTAAGAGAAGACACACGCAGGGAAGACCGGTATAAGGAAAAATAAGACTACTGGTCCTCACAGTTCACAATACTGTGGAAGGGAAAACAGGGGGATCCTCAGCTTACAGCAGCACATGATCTAGCTGTAGGTGTCCCCGATCACTGCAAGGGAGTTGGACTTGGTGACCTTTAGCCAGGTGACTTCCACTTGTGGTTTATTAGTTGTTTCCACCCCCTGCCCCAGCCACCCTGTTTGCTGCCACGCATTCTTCTCTCTTTTCTGCCTCCGAGCACATCACAGCTCCAGCACAAACCTCTCCATGCTTACCACCACTTTGAAGTCCTACGCCGCCGGTTGTTGGAGGCTGAAATGCATACAGAACCACAGGATCTAGTGAGGGTTTAGTGAGAGCTATTGGCGACAGGTGGATGGTTGGACTGGACGATCTTGAAGCTCTTTTCCAACCTTGGCGATTCTGCGATTCTGTGACCACCAAGTCTGGAGAAGAACTCCAAGCCCATTCAGTCCAAGTGTTCCCCACTAAGCCACGTCCCTCAGCACCACACCTACATGTTTCTGGAACTGAAACTGTTCACGGACGTTGACCACGCTCCACGTGCAGCCTGTGCCACTGCCTCACCCGCTCTTCCAGACAAGGAATTCTTCCTGCTATCCAACCCGAACCTCCCCCGGTGCGACCTGAGCCCAGGGGTAACGTTAGAGATTGACAAGCAGGACAGCGTTAAAGACAGATCAGAACCACGCTTAACAACGAGGGCTGTCGATGACGAGATCACGCGCTGACCCGCACAGCTCAGCCGCTGCCTGACACACCGCCCGTCCCTCACGCTCTCAGACCCCGCCGAGTGGAAGCCGGCTCCCGGCCCGCCCAGCCGCTTCCCCTCCCGAAGCTGCAGCCGCCCCAAAGTTCCTCGCGCCGCCCGCCCAGCCCGCACCGCTCCCGGCACTCACCGGCGGTTCATGGGCCGCACCCGCACGGCCACCTTCACCGAGGCCATGGCGCGACCCGGCCCGGCCTCGTCCCGCCGGGACCGAGCGCAGAGCCCGGCCTAGGCCATGTCGCTATGGCGACCCGCCCCCGCGCCGCCCTGCCCCGGCCGCTATGGGGGCAGCGCAGGGACAAACAACGGCGCGAGGCGCCGCTCCGCCCGGCCCGGCCCCGGCTCCCGCCCCGCCCCCGGGTGGCTCCGCGCTGCCGGATGGCGGCCGCGGGACGGCGGGGCTGTTGGAGCTGGCTGTACGGAGATAGGCGTCCGCCTCCGCCTATCCGCACAAACAGCGACAGCGGTGTGTCGTTGCTGCGGTGCGAACCTGTCCTCTGCGTTATCTGTGCCTATCTGTGTTTTATCCAGATAGGTATCTGCAGTATCTGTGTATGCAGCATGTTCCTGTGCTGGCATCGGTGCTGCTATCTGTCGATATCTGTGTCTGTCACGCATCCGCGGTATCTAGAGGGAGATCTGCATCGATCGGTAGTTCATGGAATCGTAGAATGGTTTCGTTTGGAAGGGACCTTTAAGACCATTGAGTTCCAACGCCTTGCTATAGGCAGGGACACCTCCCCATAGCCAGGCTGCTCACAGCACCCAGCCTGGCACTGAGCACCTCCAGGGAGGGCACATCCGTAACCTCGCTGGGCAACCTGTTCCAGTGTCTCACTACCCTCACAGTAAAGAACTGATTCCTAATATCTAGCCTAATTCTGCCCTCTTCCAGTTTAAAGCCATTTCCCCCTATCCTATCACTACCTGCCCTTATAAAAACTTTCCTGTAGGCCCCTTCAGGTACTGGAAGGTTGCTCCTCAGAGCCTCCTCTTCTCCAGGTTGAAGAGCACCAGCTCTCAGCCTGTCCTCGCAGGGGAGATGCTCCAGCCCTCTGATGATCTTCGCGGCCCTCCTCAGGACCACTCCAAAAGCTCCATGCCCTTCTTGTGTTGGGGTCTCAGAACTGGACACAAGAGGTGGGGTCCCACAAGAGTAGAGTAGAGGGGCAGAATCACCTCCCTCAACCTGCTGGACACATTTCTCTTGATGCAACCCAGGACACTGTTGATTTTCTGGGCTGCAAGCACACATTGCCAGCTCATGTTGAATCTTTCATCAACAGACACCCTCCAAATCCTTCTCCTTAGGGCTGCCCTCAAGCTATTCTCTGCCCAGCCTGTATCTGTGCTTGGGATTGCCCCAACCCAGGTGCAGGACCTTGCACTTGGCCTTGTTGAACTCCATGAGGGTGGCATGGGCCCACCTTTCAAGCATGTCCAGGTCTCTCTGGATGGTATCCCTTCCTTCATGCATGTCAATTAGATCCACACACCCACATTCATATAACTGTATACATTTCTAACTGTACTTTTGCCACTCCTGTTGTCTGCAGAGCTGAACAGGAGCAGCCCCTGGTAGGCTGCCAGTGCTGTGCTGAGTTACCAAAACTCAGCATGGCTGCACATAGGACATATCCTCCTGTGAAATGGAAATATATTCTGCTTCCTATAAGCAGTTTCCATTACAGATGGAAGTTGAAGAAGCTGATGCACATACATTGTGGCCAGCGTAAAGAAGCAAGACCTCCCCAGGCTCTCAGGACTTCTCGTCCTCCGTCGCTACTTCAGAAATGTATTTCTCCCACCAGGCTGAGGTATGAATGCTACCACCAGCCTACTGACAGCAGTGCCAGGTTTGGTTTTGTCAGCAGGACTCATTACACCTCGCATGGGGGCTGTAATTGGCATCAAGAGGCTGGAAGCTACAGAGAAGTACTGAATTGCATTTCAGTACAGTTTAAATTATAGCTAGCAAACTAGCAGAAAGTGTGGGATGGATTAATCCACTCCATAAAACTAAGCAGAACTCAGTTGAATATTGCTCTGGTTTGAGACGCTCAGCATCTGCACTACTTGCCTGGCTTTAACCACCATTCACACGGAGAACAGTTTTGCTCCTTGGACTCATTTCTGTCTGTGGCTTTCTCTCTTCTGATGGCATTGTCCCTCTGTACAGCAATGAGTTAACAGTTGACTTGAAATTAGTATCCTGTCAGTGACACGTTCTCACACCGATTATGTAATGCCTTTTGCAAAGTCATAAAGTTAGTTGTACGAGAAGGGATCCAGGAAGAAGCCTGCTCCTTTATGGACATGTCCTGTGATTAAGCAGTTTGGTGGATGTTTGAAAGAGTCTGAGGGTTTAGGAAAGTCAGTCTATTCACAGTCTGATTCTTAGAAATTAGCCAGAATTAAATATTTTTGAGATCTCCATGCATAAGTTACAGTTTGTAGATATCAACAAAGAAAAAGCAAATGTAAAGGCACATATATATATGCACAGAAGTGCATCAACCTCCATTCCTTAAAAGCCCACTGGAAAACACAGCTGTCAGTTTCTAAATACTAAGTATTTTACACTCAAAAACAGGTGGCAAAGTCTGTAAACCAAAATTGGAACCAAACCCAAAGAACACATTCCAAAATATTTCTCTACTTCCTTAGCAAAAAGTCTTTAGAAGTAAATGCATCACTCAGATCCGGGCAGTGGAGCATATTCAATCAGTGCTTTTCTTTGCATTATAACAAAGTCTCTTTGCTACCTTTCAATCTTGGTTTGGAGAACCTGTTCCACCTGCTGTAGAAATTAGGCTTGGACACAGAGATGAGATCTTTGGTGTTCCTGTGAGCCTCCAGAGGAGACAAACTGGGCTTCATCTAAGTTCTGACCATTCTTCATTCTTCATTCTTACTCTTGGCCAGTTTAATTAATCAAACAGCCATCTCCAAGGAGCCCTACTCAGCTGTGCACTCAGAACCTGCATGTTTTACTTCGCAGCAGAAAGCTCAATGCTAACTAGCTAAGTTTCAGGAGTGCCTTCATACTCACTTGGCACAAAACACGTGCCCACACATCTCTGCTTTGAACTCACTCTGATCCCACTCTAAGCAGAAACAAAAGCAAGCAGCACGTGTTCTCTGCCAGATTTGCAGCGGGCATGTAGTTCCTTGCTGCTTTGGTTTTTCTGCAGCTGTGTCCAAGCCAACATCACATTTGGGCACACACATGTGTCCTGGCCAACTTCAACAGGCAGTGGATGTCCCTCTGCTCACATGGAGGATGCAAAAAGTTCCTCAAGTCATCCTGATGGAGCATCCAAGTGGAGCCCTTCAATGGCTGAAAAAGAAAGGCTTTTGTTATATTAAAAATTAAACCAAGTGTTGCATGCATCCATACTAAACAACTAGAATTATCCAATTTCCAGCAGGACTCAGCAGGCAATTTCAAGCAAATAAGTATCAAGCTGTCAGCTTGAAATTCTTCTTTGGAGCTGTGGGTTTTAGTGAGTTATTGCCAGTTCTGGAGTTTGGCATCTTCCCCCTTGCTCCTTCCAGTGGTTGCCTTTGAGTTTTCAATGAAATGTGGGAGCAAGGACATCAGTAATTCAGCCAGTCCTTCCGACATGGTGCTGCTGGTGGCTGAGCTCAGAGCAGTGCTTTTGGGACAGCCTGGGATGATCACACAGAGCTGCAGCAGCTCAAGAGAGCAGAGGACAATGGCAGCACCTTGGTGGCTGTGTCCAGGTGGAATGCTGTCCCTTTATTTGCATCTAGCCCTCACACTGACCTCTGTGTTTGCAATAATGATAACAGAGCAGAACATAACTCCCCTCACACGTAGCAAATCTCCGCTAAGAACCTGCTCATGGCTCACCCAGCAGCTGGATCTGTGTGGCTAATACCATCCTCTCTCCTGTGTTGTCCCTTCCTGAGAACACCATGCCCACCACTGGTACTGGGGGCTGCACCAAGATGCATTTGCACTGAGAGTTTGGGTTCCTGGAGCAGAGATTCCTTCCTTCGGTTTCCCACATTGAGCATGGAGAGCAAACCCTCTTCTGGACTGCACAAAAGAAGGAACAACTTGTAGATAACTTTTGAGTTTCGTCATCTGGGGGAATTAATCAAACCTGGATGAAGCACCCATTCAGACTGCTGGATACACAGTGCCATTGTCAAATGCTGTTAGACTGAGCCAGAGCTGAACCAGAACTGCTCCAGCAGAAGCTGAGCTGAACCAAGAAGCTACGGGTCTGCCTCCCTGCTCCTTCAATCTACTGCTAATTGCTTCATTAGTGCGTCTCTGAATTGATTTTCCTGTTGCTGCATTTTCCACCTACCTTTAGTTTTAAAGCATTTTAAACATACTTCACGTGGGAATAATCAAATAAGGTACACAAGCGCAGAGAAACAAATGCACTGCTTATATCCAGATGTATTTGATAGGAGACCACTTCAGCCCGCACCATACAATCATAACCTCAAGTCGTAACCATGAAAACAAAAGCACGTAATTTCTATTTTGTAACACAAAGGGGAGATGTTCTCGCACAACAGGAAAAGTCTGTCCTACACAGAAACTTTTCTCATTACGAAGAGCACTCATGAGTTTCACAGGGTACATTGCAGCATTTCAAATGTATTGTCGGCTTCTCCGAAATGAGGTTGGTTTTGTCCCCTCGTTTCACTTTCAGTTAAGGAGCCTGACAAGAAAAAGTATGGTACATAGAAGCAGAAACGAAGAATAAGTGGTTGTAGTTGACATTTAATTTCTGCACAGTTGGAAAGAGAAATGAGACTGTCTATTGTTCGATCCATTATTTTTCCCAGCCATCCAAGAACACAGCAATTTGTTGTTTCTTTATTAAGTATAATAGGGAGATATTCTGATAATTTGTCCTTAACAATTTCTTATTATTTACAGCTCATGTACAGTGGCAGCCTCTGAGCTCTTTCCTGTGCTGCGTTTTCTGTTATATCACTCAATTAACACAGAGACAATCTGTTATGTCAAAAAGGTAACACGACGGCGCTTGATAAGCAAGCAAGCCACAGAAAGCACTAATAACTTCTAATGAATTATCACAATGCTGTGTTCTGAGATGTTCTCTCGCTGGCACTCGGGGATTTACACGGCACATTAACACACAAACTGTCTCTGGCTGGTGCTGCTGAGATTAGGAAGTGTCACTGCTTGGTGTCAGAAACAGCTGCACACCTCACGGCTTTCCTTATGGAGACTGCAAAAACAACAACTGTGAAATAGCATTTCTAAATAGGAGAAATTCTT